AGCTTTGGTTGGGAGGATATTGACCCGGCTTTGGCTAAAAACTCACAGTCATATATTCTCAGCATTTTTATTATGAATCTCTGCATAAACCTCTACCCACTCCAAAAAAAGAAGAAGATATTTCTCTGACAAAAGTTGAGAGCAGCAGCCGGGTGGTGGTGGCACATGCCCTTAATCCCAGCACTCCAGGAGAATCTCTATGAGTTTGAGACCAGCTTGATCTACAAAGTGAGTTCCAGGACAGGCTCCAAAGCTACACAGGGAAAGCCTGTCTTGAAAAACCAAAAAAAAAAAAAAAAAGTTAAGCACAGCACAAGTATATGCAAGTATATGCATATAACCGCATATTTAGAAGACAGTTTGGCAACCTGACCATTTAGTACAACAACAGTAGTTTTTTCCTCCTTAGGACCTATGACCTCCCCAGACATGGGTTTTTGACAAGGTTTATGAGAATCTCTCATGAGGCAGGCCACAAAGCCAACCAAAAAGTGGTTGGTTACTATCACAGCCACCATACTACTGTTGCACCAGTGAGCACATTTTGCCTCACAGGTCAATATTGTAGCCTCCCATGTCCAGTGAAAGTAAAATCATTAATGTCTTTTCTCCCCGAGTAGCTGACTGCCTAACACCTTCCAGCAGTATTGAATCTAGCTAACACATACAGAGTTACCTTTCCAGTTTGAGATTGATATCTGTAGGCCAGTGGGAAGATACCTAAAAATGAGTCTGTACAGTCCTAGTAGAGACAGGCAGAGTGAGGGGTGTGCCTGGATTAGAGATAAAGATCTTTATTAGTCATGACCCTGCAGGTAGAATGAGTTTCACCCATGTCAGTTCCCCTCACCACCTCTAAGTTCAGGAGAGTAGACCAGATGAATACTGCACTCACTGTTTTTGTGCTGCAGTTGAGAAGCCAGTGTTCTTTAGGGGCTGCTGCCAGGCCTGCCCAAACTTTGATCCAGTGGTATACTTTCTTATTAACCTACTCAGGCAAAAACTTCTTCTCTACACAGGAGGAACCGCTATCTTCCAAAATATTTTTTTCATTTATTTAATTATTTATTCTTCTCTCACATATTACATCCCAACTGTAGTTTCCCCTCCCTCCTCTCTTCCCAGTCCCTGCCCTCCCCTCTCCCCCAGATCCACTCCTCCTCCTTTCCCTTCAGAGAAGGTCAGGACTCCCAGGGATATGAACCAAACGTAGCATATCAAGTTATGACTAGGCACAAGCCCTTGTATCAAGGGAGGACAGGGGAATCCAGTAGGAGGAAAAGGGTCCCAAAAGCAGGCAAATATACATTTTAATGCTGTTTTAAAAAGAAATAAAGAATATATTCAATATGACTCATACCTTTTAAGAATTTCACTTTATAAACCCCAACACAAGTTTTGCATTTATTTTCAGTTTTTGTTTACATTTAATAATATTATTCAATAAAATCACATTATTAAAGATCACTTAGTATGCCTGTAAGAACATTTATATTTTAAAGTTTAAAAATCAATAGTCCAGCCGAGCGGTGGTGGCGCACGCCTTTAATCCCAGAACTTGGGAGGCAGAGCCAGGCGGATCTCTGTGAGTTCGAGGCCAGCCTGGGCTACCAAGTGAGTTCCAGGAAAGGCGCAAAGCTACACAGAGAAACCCTGTCTTGAAAAAAAAATCAATAGTCCAAGAAAATACTATTAGAAAGTATACATAAATCCCAGGGAGAATTGCAGTCTGATGGTGTTATATGCTTGCATCTACCTGGGCACAGAAGAAAAATTTTCATGAAAATGTTAGTGTTTACGGAAAATTCCTAATTCTATTAGAATTTGTACACCTATGGATGAACCCTCAGTGTAATAAACAAATTTCTATCATATTGACATTTATTCCAGCTTTAGAAGTCCCTATACCCTTTAACAGTCACAACACTGTTTAAAATTTCAAAGATTCTTCTGAGACTTAAGGTAGTCTCTTAACTGTGATCTCTTATAAAGTTATAAAAATAAGTTACATATTTCATTTTATAAAGGCACAGATTAAATACCCCCATTCCAAAAGGGAAGAATGGAGACAATGCAAAGAAAGACTAGAGAAAAGAAAGACAAAAAACTAGCAGGAAAATTATCCAATGATGGAGTGCCATGTTCAGCATCTGGAGCACATCATGTATTTGTCTAGGCTCAGATGTGTTCCAGTAGCTGTGCCCTTCCATCTCTGCCACCTAGGTAAAGCCAGCTCTACTCCTACTTGCTTCTTTCAGCATGCCTGCAGCTTTCTTTAGCATATATCCCATGAGCCTGGTATCTTCAGCATCCTGGGGTCTCTGTTGGAACTTAGGCTTCACATTTACCACTTCACCCAGTGTCCTCCTTGCAGGGAATCCAACAATATCACATACCTCCTGGCATCACGACTTTCCATATCCTTGGTAAAAGCCTTGATGACCCACTCACTCATACTTTTTATGTCTGTAAAACAGGTACCTATAGATGATGCTGCCAAACTCTACTGTCAGCTCAAGATATAGTCTAGCCCCTTGTTGTAGGTGATGTTGTCTGAACCTGAAAAAAAAAGTACTTCTCTAAGCAGTTATTTTTGAGCAAGGTACTCCTTCAGTAGTATTCTTAATTCAAGCCTGTTCCTTTAAATGAATTTGCATTTCTATAAGTTGAAAGCTTCAAGAGGTGAGGTCTTACACTCTTTCCTATTTCAGTACAGAGTTCTACCCACACTCTTTGTCTCTGTCCCCTGCCCCCTCCTATGTGCATGTGAAATGGGGTTTCACTCTGTAGCTCTGGCTATCCTGGAACTCACTATGTAGGTCAGTCTGGCCTAGAACTCACAGAGGTCCATCTACCTATCTTTGGTTCTTGAGTGCTGCTGGAATTAAAGGCTTACACCAGCACACTCTGGATAGGTTTATCCTTATGGTTCCAATCAGTGTAACAATTAAAATTTCTTTCACTTCTGCCTTGTCAGAAACTTTAAATGTGTTCATATACCTTTACTCACTAAACTGCACAAATACGTTTCTCATTTTTGTGCCTTACTTATGACCTTTTCTCACAGTAGACCTGTATAAACAGCAGTCATGCCATAGCCTGAATGCTATCCCATCTTTAAATTTCCTCTGCCAAACAAATTAATCCATTACCTTTCAAGGCATAGGTAGAATGGAGCCAGATACTTGGCTAAAATGTTAACTGAATGGCCTCTCTTACAGTTCCTGAGAGAGTCCTTCTTCCTTCTGAAACCTCATGAGCTGAGTGAGCCTCCGCTATCCATGTTTCTCTTGGTATTCTGGTATTCTGAACTCCCACCAGAATGCCCCATGACGTTCTGTTTATAGCGTTGTAGGGTTTCTCTAGCACGCAACCAAGCTCTTCCATATTCCTCAAACAGAACATTTCCAAAGGCCTACAGACAACGTGGTCAAGTTTAGCACAGCAACATCCCCATTCCTTAAAATCGTGTTTCTGTATGAGTTGGTTTTCTCATTGCTAAGACCAAGTATATGACAAGAAGCAAGTGAAAGGAGGAGCACTTCATTTTGGGAACAGTTTAGAAGTCCATCATGGCTGAGAGTCATGGCAGTAGGAATATGTGATATCTGACATGGTGCATGTCAGGAGTCAGAACAGACAAAGAATGTCTGTATCACAAATCTAAGCCCTTCCCCAGAAACTCACTTCATCAAGCCAATCTTCACCCATAAGTGGCCACTAGTCACAAATGTCAAATACTAGAAATTGAAAAAGAAAATAAGAATTTCAATTTGATCTAGTTTTCTGTTTACATGGTTTCAAGAAAATAATTTAAACTTCTATTTCATTTTTTGTGCATTTTGAAAATTTTAATAAAATCTTGATATTAGGATATGTGACTGTAAAATATGAATAAAATTTCTATCCTCTTTACTATAGATCATTGATTTAATAGAAAACCCTGTAAAGAATATGTAAGGGGTTAAATGCAACCAGTTAAGGAATTATTCTAGCCAGAAATTTTAAAATTATAGTCTGTCACCAAGAAACAGAAATCTGTATTGTATATGTAATTCATCAATAATAACCTTTAAAAGACAATAATCTCACAGTATCATAATTTTCACTGTTATAGTCCAATTCATAGTTAATAATTATGTTCTCTTTATTATTTTGCTTAAATTCTGTGTTTTTAATATCATTCCACATGATAGTAAATACTTGGGGCTAAACAATGGGAAATTTTGAGATAGTCATAATTAACATACCAGGAAGTGTTTCTGGTAAAAGCATTTAATAGCCTTTACAATTCAAACTGGTTACTTCTACCTTTCTCTGTTAGTGCTCACATACCAATTCCTGAATTTCAGTGAAATCAATTAGGAAAAGTTAAACTTGTATTTAAATTAGTAGATTAGTGATGGTCTTATTTTGTTGTTAGTGTAGGCATCTAGAGACATGCCTTTTGCCTGGTAAAAATTGCTCAGATACTATCTAATGAAATCGTTACATACTTTTAGGTTACTAGTACTTAGCATAACTTTAATACTATGACTCATGTATATTAGGAATAAGAAATTATGACTTAGTTTTACATTTTCATATACCATCATGCCACTTCTAATTCATCTTGAAATTTTGGCCATAAATATTATTATCGGCAATTTATTCCCTTATTGATGAGGTAGCTTAGATGATTTGAAATATTCAGTGATGCAGCTTTATTTTATGTCATAATGAGAGATGCTTCTATAATTATTGTGTTTGTCTCAAATAATTATCTTCATTTGTTTTAGTTCTAGTTGTGGCTGTATTAAAAACTTCTTCCTAATGGGAACTATTATTTATAGACACCATTGACATTTGATGTGAAAGTTTTATTCTTTTGAATTTTAATATGTTTCAATGAGAATAACAGCAGTTCTTAGCTCTTGTAAATATCATAGTTACTCAATAATTATTGAATGTCCTATTAACTGATTCCTTCTCTCCCCTGCCCCCCCTCTTTATTTTTTCAGTTGGATTTGTCAGATGTTACAGCTAGCACTTGGTTCTTCCTTTGGAGATGCAGCTGCTAATGCAGGTAATGATTTCAAAGTTCCAAATACTTATGCCACTAAAATGCATAAATAGGCCAGGTAATGGTAGCACACACCTTTAATCCTAGCACTTGAGAAACAGAGGCAGGTGGATCTCTGTGAGTTTGAAACCACCATGGTCTACAGAGCAAGTTCCAGGACAGGCAATGTTACACAGAGAAACCCTGTCTTGAACCACCATACACACCAGCAAAATAAAAGCAGAAATATTATTTAAATTTAAATGATAAATTTATCATTATCACAGCTTTCCATACATGATATCTCCTAAAGATTAGCAGAAGTTTTACTATATAATGTATTTATCAAATACAAGACAATTGCTATTCAAATATTTATTAAAGAGTCATTGAATAGTATCAAAATGTTTTTATTTCTAAAACTTGGCTGAAACTAACATATAAAAACAAATTAAATATTACATCATGCTTTAGAGAGAAAATTGGCTTGTTATATCTGGAAATGGGGATTTTATAGGTACAACTTCCTTTTATATTCTTATTACTTTCTTTCTTGAATGGCATATGATTCAAAGAATAAATAAATGACCTGTTCGGGCTGGAGAGATGGCTCAGAGGTTAAAAGCACTGACTGCTCTTCCAGAGGTCCTGAGTTCAAGTCCCAGCAACCACATGGTGGCTCATTTGTAATGAGATCTGGTGTCCTCTTCTGGCCTGCAGGCATACATGCAGGCAGAACACTGTATGCATTAAGATCAATTTGGGTAACAGAAGACTCTGGCTTCAAAGTAAAATAAATAATTTAAAAAAAAAAATGACCTGTTCACTAATGAATCATGAATATAGTGTATAATCATGTCTATGCTCTCATGTAATACTAAATATAATTGTATTCTTTCTAGTTGAAAAAGTTGAGAATAGGGAACATTACCTAGAGATATTCAGTTCCCTCCAAAATGAATAAATATGATTTAATCACTTCTGGTTATAGAGGAATAACTTACAATTTTCTTGAGACCAAGAAAGTAAGAATCATCTTGAAAATATTGTCATGTATATTTTTCCAATAATTTTTAAAAATATCTCATATAATCTCATCTAAAAGTAAAGGAAAAAGAATAAAGTTGGGAAAGGCTTATGAGCAAAAACACATATATTTACTTCTTTGCATATTCCTCAACAAGCAATGAAAAATGACTTACTAAATTGTAATATTTGCTGATAATCAATTACATTAAAATTTTATTGGCCAGGCGGTGGTGGCGCACGCCTTTAATCCCAGCACTCGGGAGGCAGAGCCAGGCGGATCTCTGTGAGTTCGAGGCCAGCCTGGGCTACCAAGTGAGTTCCAGGAAAGGCGCAAAGCTACACAGAGAAACCCTGTCTCGAAAAACCAAAAAAAAAAAAAATTTATTGAAGAATTTGAGCATTGCATGCTTAGAATGGAGTTCATTAATATGAGTAAATAAAAAATAAAATTACTTAAAGAGCTATTCCAGATAGCTATTTTTTTAGGGACTATTATGCCAACACACAGAAGCACAGACATACTCAATAATAAAGAGTAGGAAGCACAAGATCTCCATTCTTTGCTCACTACTCACTACTGTTTGTGTAGTTGAGCTCAATTCAATTGTCTTAAAAGAGCTCCAGCAAGCAATATCAATATATAGTAAAAATCCTGACTAGACCTACCTGGACTGAGTCTACCAGGTTGACCTCAGTCTGTGGCTGTGGAGAAGGCTTTGCCCTGGAGTAGATGGGAATGGGGGGGGGTTGGGGGGAAGGTGAGGGGGATGGGAGGGGGGAGAACAAGGGAATCCATGGCTGATATGTAGAACTGAATTGTATTGCAAAATAAATTAAAATTAAAAAAAAATCCTGAATGCAGCAAAATCAACAGCTATATAAATAAAATGTCAAGACTAGTTGAAGACAGTGGCCTGTGTATACACTAAATAGGCTATGTGATAGAAGGGAAGAAAATAAAAATGTTTATTTTAAAATGTGTTATATTACCTCTATTCAAACTCTAACATATAGGTAATGATATCATGAAATTTCCCAGTCACCAAGTTTGGTGATAATAGAGTCTTCAGATTCAGAACCCTATGTTTTCTTACAGAATACAGACATATGAGTGCTAAGCTTTATGCAAAATGTGTTATGGCCTTGAAGAGAAACTTCCCTGTGGTTTGGTGTAACTTCTGCCAAGAAGCAACTACCGTAAGTAATATCACTATTTCAATATTAATTAATAGCACTTAAATTAAAAAAACTCAGACTTTCTATTATTGAAGAGTATAGTCAGCAGTGCGAAAAGGTATATTCACATCATAATTCAAAGATTCTCTATAAAAATCCTTTGTATGAAATATTAATTCCTGTCTAATAATAGAAGAATCCATAGAGGAAAAGTAACAAAAATATGAGGAGAATTCCCACTTTCACTTTGCTGTTCTGCTTATTGTAATTAACACTGGTTTGATATGTGGACATTGAACATACTAGTTATTATCTTTAACTATTGAAAGGATGATGTCAAGCTAAGTTGAGCATAATAAATATACTTTCAAATAATAAAATTATTAGAATATTATTTTAATTAGTTTACAAAAGAATCTCAATAGTCTATAGCTTCAGGTAGGTTTCTTATTATTTTCTTGATGACTTTGTTTTACATGTAGGGATTTTTTTTGTTTATTTGTGTGTGTGTGTGTGTGTGTGTGTGTGTGTGTGTGTGTGTGTGTGTGTACACCACAGTGCTTGTGTAAACATCAGAGAATATTTCTACCCTGTGAGTCTCAGAATTGAAATGAAGATGGCACACTTGGCAGAATGCACCTTTACCCATTGAGACATCTCTGGAGCCCTCCCTTCACATTTTTAGATGCTATATAATACAGATTTTAGGGAAAAAAACTGTAGTAAACTAGATATAGTAGCTCATGCCTATAATATAAACACTTGGGAGGTGGAGGCAGGAGAATTGCCACAAGTCCAGCCTGGGCTACATGGTGAGTTTCATGTTAGCCAAGATACATTGTAAGACCATGAAACAAGATGGAGGGAGAAGGAGAGTGGAGAAGAAGGAAGGGAGAGATAGACAGATGGAGGAGAAGGAAGGAACAAGGAAGAAAAGAAAAAAAGAAAAAAGGAAAAGAGAACGAAAGAGGGAAGGAAGGTATGGTGGTTTGAATAGGAATACCCCTCCCCCATAGATTCATGTGTTTGAATACTTGGCCCATAGGGAGTGGCACTATTAGGAGGTGTGGACTTGTTAGAGTAGGTGTGGCCTTGTTGGAGGAAGTGTGTCACTGAAGAGACAGGCTTTGAGGTCTCATATATGCATAAGCCATGCCCAGTGTGATAGTCTCTCCTTCTGTTGCCTGAAGATCAAGATGTAGAACACTCAGCTCCTTCTCCAGCACCATGTACGCTTATATACTGCCATGTCCTGCCATGATGATAATGGACTAAACCTCTAAATTGTAAGCCCGCTCCAATTAAATGTTTTCCTCATAAGAGTTGCCATGGTCATGGTGTCTCTTCACAGCAATAGAAACCTTAACAAAGAGAGAAGGAGACAGAGGAATGAAGGGAGAGAGAAAGGAAAGAAGGAAATGCGGAGGAAATAAAGCAGAAAGAAAAAAGAAAGGAATGATTGAATTATGAAAAATGGCACATCCAAAACAACATTGTGCTGCTAGAATCCCAAATTGGCTCAACTTCACAAGAACAGCAAATGTAAGACACCTACCAGAAAACTGGTAGAGGAATCTGAAATTGAAATATTTCTAACATCCATAATTGTACTTCCCTGCCATTGCCCTTAGGATCGGTCTGACCATGATACTGTGTGAAAGCGGTAAGAGCTCTGAAGGGACTAAACCCAGCCCAAATGAGTCTATTGGGAAAGTAGAGTGTCTCTGCAACCCATGGACACTCCTCCACAGGAGGAGTAATGGACCCTAAAATTGAGAGATCTGCAGTGTTCTTTCCTTCCGGCTATAATATAAACTTGCAGAGCAAGAAATACATGATATTTTGTCAAGGTCATGACAAAATGTGGAACATTGCACAGCACAAAGATATAAAGAACACACCCCAAGCTGCACAGACCATGGAGGTAGCAGCAGAAGTATAAGAAAGGAATCTGAAGTTGAGCATTCTCAACATCCCCACCTAAGTTGTAGCCTTTCATACCTCTAGCCCATATAGTTTCTTTACTCTTACTCTACTCCTTCTTATTCCCTTCTTTATTCCTCCCTCTTTTCACAAGTTAAATAGTGATACTCTTAGTTCTAAAAGCAAAACAAAAAAACACTATAAACTAAATTTTCCCAACTACTACCATGTTCCCTTATCTCTAAAATTCAAAGGGGACATAGATTAAGAGAACAGTCTCTTCTCCGGCAGCTAATATTGGGGCTGCTGTCATATTCAGTGTATTTGTTATTGTTTGGCTTTCTCAGTGAATAAAAACCCAAGTGAAGACAACCCACATAAAAGAAAAAGACTAAAACCGTGAGCAAATGAGGAAAACTACAGACCAGAGAGACTATACAGACCAACGGATATGCAAAGTCCAACAACGAAAAGAAAAGCTGATGACAACACTCCACTATAATACCCACACAGGCCAAGGGCTTCTCAGTGTGAGGGAACAATGATGAGATAACTGCTGCAAACAACATTTGAGTCATACTTTTAAAAAAGAATCAATAACTCTCTTGGTTGCTTTTCCTCTTGCTGTGATAAAAAATAGCCAGGCAAAAGCAATATAAGGGAGAAAAGGTTTGCTCTGGCTCATAGTTTGAAGTTAAAACTCACCATAGTAGGAAAATCAAAGTAGTAGAGGCTGGAGGCATCTGGAGACATTGCATCCACAATCCAGAAGAGAATAATAAATGTTTATGCCTGTATCCCTCTCATTGTGCCACTCACAGTGGATAGATCTTCCCACTTCAATTAACCTAATAAAGATTATCTCACCCACAGGTGGGTCCAGATATCCGCCTCCCAGCTGATTATAGATTTCATCGGGCTGACAATTGATATTAGCTATCTGAGTTCTATCTCCAGTCAACCTGACACCCAAATGTAGTGGGTAGCAGTTCCAGCTTTGACCTTGAAACACTGCCCCTAGAGTGACAGCAGGTAACTGCCACACCTGCCTATGACCTGCCCCTGGGGTGTGGCTGAGAGGGAGCCCCTTAAGACTCAAGGTGCATATGTGTTTGGCCCTTCTGTATACCTTGTGGTCCTGGAAGCTGGATGGGACACCAAGCCAGAGTTCTCCACTGGATGGTACCTCATCTCTCCTGGATCCTGTAACCAACCCCTATTGGTTGTAAGTTATCCCAGAAATAAACCTCTCTTGATTATCAGATAAATTATGTGGAATTGCCCCGTTAATTACAGTATTATCCATACCACTTCAGATTATAATCTTCCTTCATTGTACTACAGAAATTGCTCAGTGGTTAAGAACCCATGTTACTCTTGCAGAGGAGTCAGTTCAGTTCCCAGCACACAGTGGTTCAGAACCATTTGTAAATCCATTTCCAAGGGATTCGATACTCCCTTCTGGCTTCCACAGGCATGCAAATGTACACATGCATACACATAAAATAAAATAAATCTAGAGCAAGCTTTAAATCATAACCTTCTACCTCTTATCCCCATGTTCTTCTCGTGTTTACCCCACGTTCATCTCATAATATGAAAAATAATCCAATTTCATTTTAAAGTCCAAAACTGACATCTCATCTCATCTGAGACCCAAAGAAATCTTATAACTATAAGCTTCTATGAAATAAAAATGTCACATTCCTCCAATATACAATGACACAGCGTAAACAAACAAGAAAATTTAGCATGACAAACATCAAATACCATAGCACCACACCAAGCATCTGGAGTTTATGATGAAATTGGCTGGACTACAAAGAGCTTAAGCAACCCTGCCCATCTAGATCTGCTACCTGCAAAAAACTCCACATTCCCCAGCTTTCCTCAACAGACATCCATCTCACAGTCCTGTGAGCTACAATATTCTGGGATCTCCATTGTAACTTAGGATTCACCTTCATAACATCACACAATGGTTTCTCAGATTGCTTGGAGATATCTCAACACTGCCACACATTGCTTACTCGCATTTTGCTCTGAAACATTGGAGCAGGACTCCCTGATCCCTTTAATCTTTTGTCCCCCAATTCCTGCAAAATCAAAACCATATAGATGCTGCTGCCAAATTCTGCTGCCCATTTGAGATATAAGCTAAGCCCCCTTGGGTAACAGCTTCTGTGTGCTGACCCCGGGGAAACCATTCCTTGTGCAATTGCCTTTGAGGAGCAAGGAACCCCTTCAGTTTAACCGTTCTTCCTTCAAATGAATTTAGATCTTCATAATATGGAATCTCCGATGATTGTGATTTGGTCTTCAGGACCTTTACTGTCATCTCAGTCTATCATAGAAGGTCTCTATTTGATGATGCCTATCTCTTTAAAAATAAAAGTTGCTTTCTTGCACCAGCCTGAAGGTCTCATGGCTTAAAATTTCTTCTGCCAAACAAATCCATTCATTATATTCAAATTGAACTTCACTGAACTTCTTAGGATGCAAGCAGAGAGTGACCAGATACTTGCCCAAATTATCACATGCTAATTTTTGGTAGAGTCCTTATTCTCTTCTGAAACCTTGTGAGCAGAGTCCTACTTTTCTCAAAATTCTTGTCTTCCAAGATTCCATCACAATGGCCCATTAAGCTTTTCTAATATCATTCTAAGGGCTTTTCAAACCCAAAGTTTCAAACCCTTCCACATTGTTCCAACAAACTAGTTAAAAAGGAATAAGGACCACAGTTATGTTAGCAATGGCCCCATTCCTGGTGCCATTGCTCTTCTGTCTGTCTTAGTTGCTCTTCCTGTTAGTGTGATAAAAATACCCTGACAAAAGCATCTTATTAGAGGGCTCACAGTTCAAGGTTACTGTCTACCATGCTGGGGAAGTCATAGCAGCAAGAGCTTGACACAGCTGATCACATTGCTTCTACAATCAAAGGGCAAAAAAAATGATGAATACTCATGCGCAGCTCATGTTATCCTTTTTATACAGCCCAAAATTCTATTGCAGGAAATGGGGCCATTGACAGTTGATGCTCTTCCCACTTCAGTTTTAACCCAATGAAGATAGTCACCTACAGGCATGCCCAGAGACTA